ACTGTTGAACATGGCTTGTTAGAATATCTACCGTTCTCAGATGCTCAATAAGTTAACCCTATGCTCATTTTAGTCTTCATGCTAGATTACAGTGTCTATAGACCATGGGTTATTTCGGCTCTTCCTTCTTTTTTCAAGATTGACCAGGAATCAAGAGAGGATGAGAAAATAAACTTTTACATACAACAGAACCAAAGCATTGTCATACACTGAGCTGTACCATGCCATAAATTTTTACATAGTGATCTGCCCACTGAAGGCAGTGGTGGGATTCAGGTTTTTTTTACTGCCGGTTTGTAGAGTTGTAATTGCAGGAATGTTCCAATCTCGGATGGCAAACCTCAGATAAAGAATGTTTCCAAGCAAATACAACTCAGGTAAACAAAGTCACTAATCTAAAGGAGGATTAGAGAGAGGAAGTAAACATATGTTAGACTTTAACTAGAGATAATTAATTGTATTAATTACTGTGCTAAACAGTAACGAAAGTTAAGCAGTAACCAAAGTTAACCAATGATGGGGGATAATTAAAAATGTGTATAAATACAAGACTAGACTCCAATAAACATCATCATGATTCAGTTGTTCATGATCAAACAACTCGACTGCCTCGTCATTACAACACCGGTTCTATGGGTGTGGCTTGGTGGGCGTGGCAGGGGAAGGAGACTGTAAAATCTCCAGTCAGAGGTGGTATTTGCCAGTTCTCCGAACTACTCAAAATTTCCTCTTCCGGTTCTCCAGAACTGTTCAGAACCTGCTGAATACCAGCTTTGACTGAAGGGTATGTTCTTCCCCACTCCAGCCCGGCCCACTTAACATTGGTCCTTTTTCAAGCACTGAAAGAAAAAATCTGGACCTTCAGAAATCATATCCTGTGCTTAATATAAATCTGTTTCTCATAACAGAAAATGAACCACCCTCTAATTGTCTGAAGGAGGGGTGTATGTGTGTGGGGGGGTGGGGGGGGGAAATACAGCAGGCCTAGCATTTTCAGATGGCCCTGTGGCCTTGAAGTAAGCAACTCTGCAGTGCAAACAGCAGGTGGATTGCAATTCCCCCATCCATTTTCTGTCCAAAATGTTTCCACATGGTTTGTACTTTTGTTTGGTTTTAGGTTAACAAGGAATGTGTCAGAGGGCTCTGGGCTGGACAACAACAGGAACTGATTTTTTTTCGCAATCGTAACCCAGAACGAGGCAGCATCCAAAACAATAAACAGGTGTTGAGGAACCTGATTAACTCTTCATGCGACCAGCCTCTGGGATACCCCATGTATGTTTCTCCTTTGACAACATCCTATATAGGGACTCACACTCAGCTGAAAAATCTCTGGGGTGGACCGATAAGTCTCGACAACATCAAAAGATGGTTCAGAAACAAATGGCTTAGGTAAGCACAAAGGAGGGCTCATAACCAGAGATCTTTCATTGCATCTCAGCAGATGTTTTAAAGCAGGGGTTGCCAACCGTTTGGACCTCAGGGACCACCAAACTCATAATTTTAGATCCCAGGGACCACTAACCGATTATGTGGGCATGGCCTAATTTGTGGGTGTGGCTTGGTGGTCATGTGACTGGCTGGGCATGGCTTGTATGTAAATATTATAAATATTTATATAAATATTGAATTTTTTATTTAAAAAAGAGCAACTTTTACCCAAAATCAGGCAAAGCAGACAGGCTGATTGAGTTGCTCACAGAATCACAGATTCATTCAGAGATCTATCTATCTTCCATCGGCTAGCTCAGTCTGTCACATAAAATTTGCTTGCAAGCAAACTCACAAAATTAACTCACAACACACCATGAATGTCAATATCAATTTTTTTATTTAAAAAAGAGCAACTTTTACCCAAAATCAGGCAAAGCAGGCAGGCAGATTGAGTTGTTCACAGAATCATTCAGTGATCTATCTGCCATCGGCTAGCTCAGTCTGTCACATAAAATTTGCTTGCCGTGAGTCTGCACTGAATAATAGAACCTTCAGTCCTAAGGGAGGTTCGGCTGTGCTTAAAAGCAGAGCCGAAGATCTAAAGATTAGCTAGAAAGCAAAAAATCCAACCATTTCCTACTTTCTAGCTAATCTAAATCTCCCGGCACAGCAGAACAACTGATGGTCAGAAAAAGAAAAAAGGAAAAATAGCAACTTTGCAGGCAAGTTTGCTAGGTAAGGAGTGAGTGGGCAGGGAGGGTTCCCACGGGCCATGTGGGTGGTGCAGCCTTGTGTTCCTACACAGCCTGGATTTAATGCTTTGGGGGTGCTCATAGGGGTGACATTTCTCTGTGGACCACCAAAATTTTCTCGCGGACCACCAGTGGGCTGCGGCCCACTGGTTGACGACCGCTGTTTTAAAGGACATCTTAGGGCTCTCAAAATACAAGATATTTTTTTTTAATGAGAACATTAAGTGATACGCACTGTTTTCACTGTCTAAAATAGAATTTATTTGTTTGTTTGTTTGTTTGTTCATTCATTTTATTTACTTGATTTCTATAACCAAGCATCTCAGCAAATTACTCTGGGCAGCTATAGTAATCAAATACTATTAAGTTGAGATACTTACTATCTACTTAAATTAGATCAGCAACCAAAGCCCTGATTCTCCTCCCCATTCCCTTCTTGTAAGAGTTTTATGCACATCCTCTTGTGCTCTTCACAACTAGTTTTGCTGTTTTCCAGGAGCTCTTCCTTTTAGAAGTTAAAGCACAATAGTGATACATCCATTCCTATTGTTTTCTCATTGCATCCGGATTGAGCTGAACATCCTACATATTCAATGAACATGGTGTCTTCATTATATTTAAGTAGTTATTAATTGAAAGAAGTTCACTGTGATTATGTGTGTGTGTGTGTGTTGCCAGAACTATGTATACAGTATATAGCGTATGTATGTATGTATGTACGTATGTATGTATGTATGTATGTATGTATGTATGTATGTAGCAGGAACTCATCTGCTTTCAGATTTTCTTAATTTTTGTATAACATTGAATCTGTTCTACAATGTGCTAGTGGCAAAGATTTGTAAAACTTGATAAACGCAGAAAAGGCAAGTACTTTATTGTAGAACAGTATGTACCTTCAGAGGGATGTTGGTTTTTTTCATCCTTTGTGGCTCCATCTTTCTCCAAATACCAACTATTCTGCTCCTTCCGACAATGTTGCAGTATTTTATAATTTAGATGGACTGAGAGTGAATGCCGTGATGCAGAATCATTTGTTACCACTCTGTTGATGCTGAACCAAATTCGCCTTTGACAAATAACAAAATAATACATTTGACCAAACGATATAAGCTGCAGAATTTGCAAAATCTATTCTACTTGCAGTGAATTTCTCAATTTACTATGGAACCAGGTCATGAGGTTAATAATGACATATGAAATAGCCAGGCAAATTTGTCACAAGATTTTTTTTTTCAGCATTTGATTTTTCAGAATTAAACTATCTGGGTGAATTGAAGAGTTTTATAACTGTTCAGAAGCAGAAATAAAAGAATTCCTAAATGATTCTTCTACAAACTAAGAACCAAAATGGACCTCCCAATTTTTCCTGTGACTATTTTCAGTGGGGATAATAACATCATAAAAGAGAGGAGGGATACACTTTTTTTGGGGGGGGGAATGCAGGCCTTTAATATTTTTATGTTGTTATCATCCACTTACATATTTTGATCTAAACTAACTCTGAAAATAAAATGTGGAATAAAATGACTAAATATTGAGCTGCTTAGAAATAAGAACAAAGAAAAAATGTAGGGGGGAAAAACTGGCAAGATTTATGTCCTAAGTACACATTCCATTACTACTGCACTTCAATACTGCTTTTTATATGAAATATTTCAGTCATATCCAGTGGAATATTTAATGTGCAACTTGCACAGCTCATTGCTATTATTGGCCAAAATATTTCCTGTTTCATATGAGCCCAGTATGAAAGCTGACAGAGATATGTCAATGAACATCTGCCTTTTCCTTAATTTGCCAAAGAAATGTAAAGCAATTCTGAGAGTAAAACTTTAGGTTGTATTTGTCAAAGAACGGCCTTTCTGGTCCAGTACTGTGTTCCCACTGTGGAAAACAAAGACACTGGAAGCAAAGGAAAAAAACACCTTGCTTATGGCCCAAGTGCTCCTGACTATTTCTTTTCTAACAGAATGCAGAAGGATTGTAACCCAAACCACAGTAGAGGAAGCTGTGAGGAAGGGGCCAGCAGGAATGGATCTTCCAACAGTAATCCAGCTAATAATTCAAGCCAGAGCAGCAGCTCCCAGCATACAAGGAACAGCACACCCCGACTGCACCCTTCCCTTCGGATTGCTCAGTTCTCAGGTACTTATCTTCAGTTGCATTTATTCCCTGGCAGAAGGGTATTATGGGACTGACCAATAATGAAAATGTATGGGTGGCGTCCAATGCAAGTTAAACACAAGGTGTTGCAAAAATCAAACTGTAACATTGAATGTGACAGTAAATTCCTTGCTTAGTCCAAAAGATAGTCAACGAAAGATATGCCTAATCAACATCAAGCTGTTCCCCTATGGGACATCAACATGCCTTCTACTGGAGGTGTTTTTCATGTCCCATGAGACAGATTCAGGAAGGAATCTTGCACTTAAACTGCTCTTGGTGTCACCTTAAGATTCTTTTGAAATGAATAGGTTTGAAAAAGCTTATAACTCTTTCCTGGAACTGTGGCCATAAATGTTGCAGTTGCCTCCTGGGGTGTGAGTATGCATGCTGTCCTTAGAATTAATGCACACACATATGCTGAAAATATTTACCCATACATAGTAATACTAAGCTCACAATGTTTATTGCTGCTAAACTGATGCAATTATTTAACAGTACTGTATGCCTATTTGCTTTCACAAGCTACTCCAAAGGTAATTGGAAAAACAAGCTTAACTATAATACAACAATCATGGATCAGCCAAGGAAGTTAGTTTGTGTGGGCGGCCGTACAAATCTTTTAAATAAATAAAATAATTTAATAATTAATTTTATTTGGCTTTATCTTTTCATCTACAGCTCTTAACAGTCAAACTTCTCTAAGTAAATTTAGGCATGGGAGCGGGCTTTAAGCTTCAAAAATGTATTTACAAAAGGATATAAAAGACTCTTTTGTTTCCTAAGTATTTGCAGAAATTGAGTTATTTATGTGGACATATGGGTGGTCTACTATAAAACACTTTAACCACTGAATTAAAGACATGTATGAGATATTTTTGGACAGTGGTCAGATTAACTGTTTAAAATGAGAACAGATGTTTAATTACTTTTGACTGTGAATGTCAGCATACCAGAATTCTCATCGTACAGTGCTTCCTAGCTACAGTATATTTTTTACTTTTTTATTTAACAATATTAGTATTAAAGTAATCATCAAAGAATGAAATTTAAGACATTGAAAAAATGAACTTTTCTACGAGTCTGCAACCAATACTGTCCTACTCCACTTCTAACTGCAATAACATTTAAGGGTGTAGATTCAAAAGAATATCAGAGGATTAATAATTTTACACGTTTAAAATTGAAAGTAGATTAACAACAAAAATGATTTAGTATATGCTTAATTGTTCCAAGCAGAAAAAAAATAGAATAGTTAAGAATTGCTTGCAATATAAATAGTCCTCATATACAGTAAGTTTTAATTATTTCATGTGTATTTAACACATAGATGGAAAGCCAAGTAGATTTTAATAGAAAACACACATTTATCACATTATGTATGCATGCATATATATATACTGTGTGTGTGTGTGTGTATATATATATATATATATATATATATATATATATATATATATAGAGAGAGAGAGAGAGAGAGAGAGAGAGAGAGAGAGAGAGAGAGAGATATATAGACACACACACACACACACACACACACACATACACATATTTGTTTTTGTAGATTTTCATGGGTACAGGTATGTAGGTCTAGGTGTGTTCGGGTCTTTTCCCGTGTAAGATTAAGAGTATCTTGGCGATGTTTCGGCGAGGTCCCACTCGCCATCCTCAGGCTGGTGCTTTCGGCTTCGTGCCAGTGCAAGCAGTGTGTGATCGGAGCTGCCGTCTCTCTATGAATACTGGTGGTGGGGGCTGGTGTGCTGGGATGGTTGGCTGCGCTGCTGCCTCTTGATTGGTTGATGGAATTGATGTTAGTATAATGGGCTGTGTGATGGCCTTGTGAGTTTTGTTGTGGACATATCCTGGATCTTGTGCTGTAATCTCCTGGGTCGTTTGTTTTGTAGTGATCTTTTTTCCATTAGCCTCTTGTGTTTTAAAGGCTTGGGTAATGGGTTGTGTGATGGGCTTGTGAGTTCTTTTGTTGTGATATCCTGGATCCTGCATTGTAATCTCCTGGGTCGTTTGTGTTTTGATCTCTTTTCCATTAGCCTTCTGTGTAGTAACGGCTTGGGTAATGGGTTGTGTGATGACCTTGTGAGATTTATTGCTGTGGTATCCTTGGTCTTGTGCTGTGATATCCTGGGTCATTTGCTGTGTTGCAACTTCTTGAGTTCTTGTGGTGTAATTTCCTGAGTTTTCTGATGTGATGTCCTGAGCGGGTGGCTGTGATGTAGCATTCTGAGTTTTAGTCTGGTTTCGAGTTTGGGGTCTGGGTCTGTGTTCTTGGCATGTGTCAGCTTGTTTGGTTTTGGGGCTGAGGGGTGTGACAGCTGGTGAAGCAGCCGTGGTCTGTTTTCTGGATGATGGTTGTCCTTTGTTTATAGGATGGGCTTGGGCCTGGGTCTGATGAGGGGGATTGGTGGTGGTGTCCCGTGTTGTTTTGGGTCTGGTGTTGGTTTTTGTGGCTGGGACTCATTTGTTGGTGAGGGCTAGCTTCCAGATGTCTGGTAGGCGGGAGGTATCGTCCCATCTATTCATGTTATGGAGGTGTTTCTCTATCTCGATGGCTTCCCTGATTATTCTCTTGCTGGAGTGTTCAGTGTTGGATATTAATTTGGTTCCTTCGAAATTAATTTTGTGTCCTGTGGCTTTAAGGTGCTGGAAGAGGGAGGAAGTATTTTCTTCTCTTCTGACTGCGTTTTTGTGTTCTGCGATGCGTGCATTTATTCTCCTGTTGGTTTGTCCAATGTATGTGGCTGGGCAATTGTTGCATGGTATTTCATAAACTCCTTGGTTTTCTAGCTGGATCTTGTCTTTGGGGTTTCTTAGGATGTTGGCTATTTTTTGGTCAGTGCCGAAGGCTGTCCTGATATTGTGTTTGTGGAGAATTTTGCTGATTTTGTCTGTGGTGCCTTTGATGTAGGGGAGGAGTGTGATACCGTTGTCTTGTTCTGTGTCTTGGTTTTTTGGGGGTATCTCTTTTCGGATTAGATTGATGATATTGTTTCTTTGGAATCCGTTGGAAATTAATATGTTAGTGAGGGTGTGTAGTTCTGTTGTCAGGTGGTCTTTGTCAGCTAGGCATTTGGTTCTGGAGATGAGGGTCTTGGCTACGGAGTTGATCTGTGCAGGGTTGCCAGCTGTCGCAGCACAAGATCCAGGATATCTCCACAACAAAACTCACAAGGCCATCACACAGCCCATTATACCAACATCAACTCCATCAACCAATCAAGAGGCAGCAGCGCAGCCAACCAGCCCAGCACACCAGCCCCCACTACCAGTATTTATAGAGACGGCAGCTCCGATCACACACTGCTTGCACTGGCACGAAGCCGAAAGCACCAGCCTGAGGATGGCGAGTGGGACCTTGCCGAAACGTTGCCAAGATACTCTTAATCTTACACGGGAAAAGACCCGAACACACCTAGACCTACACACAAACACACACACACACACACACATGTATATATATATATACACACACATACTGTACATTATTATTCATACCACTTGAGAGTGAGTTATACTGTATTGCAGTTCTCTTTATTTTTATTTCCACACCAACAACTCTGAGATACTGTGAGCTAAAAAGTGGTAGTCATTTAGGGATTCCCACAGTTAAGTGAAGACTTGCTGAGAATCTGAATTATACCTACTTGCAGTAACCAACTGCAGATTCTCAGCTATGGCATAGTTTTTGGCACTAATTCTGTCAGGAGCCACAAAGTGAAACAAAGGTTTACAAAATGCCCTTGGTTCACATTAATAAGTATGAATAACTGAAGCTTTACTACATTGCTACATCTATTATTAGATCTATTACAGTATTACTACTACTACTACTATTACTACTAGGAGCATGGTGGCACACCTTGTTAGGACACTGGCTTGACAAACAGCAAGCCTGTGTTCGAGACCTAAGTGCTCCATGGGGTAGCGTGAATTTCCATCCTTCACTCCAGCTCCTGCTGGGGACAAGAAAGGACCCCGTAACTGAGTGTCCCTCAGGAAATGGTGATGTCAACAACTAATCTTTTCAACCCAGAAGCACCGCAGAATGAACTATTACTACTACTACTACTACTACTACTACTACTACTACTACTCAATAATGTAGAGTAACATAAGGCAATTCTGTGAAGCATATTAGACTTGTCTAACTACGTACACACCAGAGGTGGTATTCAGCAGGTTCTGACCAGTTCTGGAGAACTAGTAGCGGACATTTTGAGTAGTCCGGAGAACTGGCAAATACCACCTCTGACTGGAGATTTTAGAGTATCCTTCCCCTGCCACGCCCACCAAGCCACGCCCACAGAACCGGTAGTAAAAAAAATTGAATCCCACCACTGGTACACACCAGATTATTTATTTATCATCTATTTATTTATTGTATTTAGAACCTTCCCCAAGCCCCAAAAACTCTAGGCTATGTATAATATAAGGAAACAGAAGAAATAAAACATAATAATTACAGTAGATCAAAATCACTTTCAGAAACAAGAAGTTGGCAACAAACAAAAACCGAGATAAAGTCCAAAAATGGGGGCCACAATAAGTTAACTTAGACTGAAAACAAATTGAAATGAATGTGTTTAATTTGTTTGTGGAATTGTGGTAAGATGGGGCTGCATTTATGTCTGGTGGAGACTATTCCACAAGGTGGGACCTACCGCAAAGGAGGCTGTCTCAACCATGCCCCACCTACCTTGCAAAGAGATGGAGGCTTTCATTTTGGCAGGCCTTCTCTCGATGACCAGACAAGGTGGGCAGATTCAATTCTGTCAGTGTATGTTGTTGATTCTCCCACTGCTAACTGACCACTACTGGAACTCAAAACTAAGCAATTCATCTAAAAAAGTTTGCAATAACAATTAAGCAGAGATAGGAATTCAAGTCTCAGACATAATCTAAGCAGCCACTGCATTAAACTTTGTGATAATGCAAGCCACTCTAAACTTACTGCAATAGGACAAAGCCATACAAAGCTAAAATATTCTTTCTGGAATAATTACTATTCAACATCTACTAAAAAAAATACTGTAGGTTAAATGATTGGCCAGATTAGCAACAATGTTTATCCTTGAACCGTGGTGGGGCAGTGGTTAGAATGCAGGCCGGTTCAAGATTGACTCAGCCTTCCATCCTTCCGAGGTTGGTAAAATGAGGACTCAGATTGTTGGGGACAATATGCTGAACCTGTAAACTGCTTAGAGGGAGCTGTAAGGCACTAGGAAAGTCTACGTGCTATTGCTATTAAACCTCTTTCAAATTTTCTGATTAAGCATATTTATTAAACTGGTCTCCTGGAAAGAATAATTTGTGAGTAGTGTTTTTGCAGTGGGCATTCACTGAATAGTGGGAATATGATTTGAAGGATAGAGTTTCTGCAAATGATTTTCTCTCTTCATTTCTTTTTTGTTTAAAGGCAGGAGAAAATTCAGGAGCCAGTCTGCTCAGACGCATGCTGCTTTAAATCAAAGGCCCCCTCGCTCAAGTCATTCTGGTCCAATCTTAGAGAGTCATCCCCCCTTCATCCAGACTTCCACTTCGGCTCATGAAATTGCCCCAAGACTTTCTGACAGCCAGCTCTCTTTCCACAATTCAGCAACCTCTGTGTTCTCCCCAACCGCTGCCATCCCTATCTTGGGCCAACTAACGGTGCAGGAGCAAGCCGGCGCTGTGATCAGGTCTAGTCTGGCCTCTTCCACCAGCTCCACTCTCAGCCTCTTGTTTGGTAAAAGAAGTTTTTCAAGTGCGCTGGTCATTTCTGGCCTCTCTGCAGCTGAAGGAGGAAACACTACAGATACCCAATCATCCAGTAGTGTTAACATTGCAATTGGGCCATCCGCTAGAGCAGCAAACCGTAACAAGCAGGAGGCTGTACGGGTAAGATATAGCCAAAAAGATGAACTTTATGTCTTATTCTGTCCTGGAGGAAATCTGTCTTATGTAGTTGTTAAGATCTGTAACCAACTGGATGGCAATTAATCAATTACTGCCTTATTCTGCCATAGGGATTGGGCATTTATGGCTCCCGAGCCATGTGTAACTACAACAAATGCTTTTTTCTATATATAATTATATTAAAATTATAATATGAAAGGGTCCAAGGAGAAAGGTGGATTAGGCAGCCACTGATTAACTTCGTGTTTAAGTTATTTGAGTAAGCATCACCAACACTGTCACTTCTCACGCTCCACAAAAGTTGTATAACTTATAGCTACATCACAAACAACCCCTGTTACCACTCAATCTTGGATCGGTTTTGTTCATTACTCCAAATCTGAAACCGAACAATATTTAGTAAATTCCTGAAACTGTTTTTCCAAGTGCCCTGGGTTGTTTTTGGTTTTCTGGTTTTACTGTAACTCCTTCTGTTCTAGATTATTCTGAAACCTGAGAAATCAAGGTGAAAATATCTGGTGACCCATGTACAAGGTTGAGCAACATGGCCTCCAAATACTGACCCTTTTTGGCAAGGCTTCTTTGAACGGAGTTGTTGAAACACTAATAACACTGTCTCTCTTTGTCAAAAGCAATTGTCTGATGATTATGAAGCAACTGATACGGCTGAATCCAGACAGCAAAGGGACCTCAGAACTACTCACGCTTTCCTGATAAGCCATATGATGGAATGCAGAAGGGCCAGCCAGGAAGACATGGCTCTAGAAGATTCTGCTTCTCAACACAGCCTTTCCGAAGAGTAAAAAAGAAGAGGCTCACAGAAGGGGAAAATGCCTTATAAAGCTGATTTAAAAATAAAATAAAATTGGGTTAGTTTGCCAGAGGAATGAGTAAAATGAACAAAAATTAAAGGATCTATTTTTTTGACCCTTTCACAAGAAAGCCTTTCATTAAAAAAAAATGTAAGGAAGATAATATCTCACTAATAATATTTAGTGCTACCCACATCACAGGTTACTGGAATTCCAAATCTGATTGAAAAGAAAATCGATCTGGCCATCTATTGTTGGCAAAGGAACACTAGGCAGTATTATTGGGGTGATTTGCAGGGAGGGCCAGGGGCAGATTACATGTTTGATAGTGAGACTGAAAGCAAAAGAAAATCTGAATACGGTTCAGTGAAAAAAGCACATCAACATCTGTCTCTTGTCATAACCAAATAGATGATTGCATGCTAAAAATAATTGGCTTTTTATACATAATGCATAAAAAAGGATTGTTTGTAATTGAAGCAATGAATATGGAACAGGAAAGAAAGCTGCCTACTCTTGAGATTAGTATGCGGAATCTTTAAAAAAAAAGTCAGAGGAAAGCTGTCTTTGTTTGAAGTGTTATGCAGCTGACATTTCTGTGCTGCAACATATTAATTGTGGAGGTGGCCCACTGCATGCAGCCATAAGGAAATTGTCCATAAAAGTGCCAGGCAAACACACTGCTACGAACCAAATAGAGCCGATGCATGAATAGCCTTCGCAAAGCCAACAGTGCTCCTTATTTGCAAACAAATGCAGCTTTCTCTGTTGTTCATCCTCACAACAAAACTCCACGCCTTTTCCTGCAACCGAGAAACTTAACAACTCGAAATTGCTTTTGTGCTCTCTTACATGAACAGACTTGTCGATTTTTTTGTAATTAAAAACTTTACAAGTACCAGTGTCTGGTTTTGTTATTATACAAAATTTGCGTATTTTACTACAATAGCGATATATTTATGGAAGATAGCTTGCTGCTTTGGGGTCTTTTTCTTCCCTTCTACTTGTTTTTCTAAGGCACGTCTTGTTTTGCACAAAGTGGTGAGTGCTTATAGGTATTTCTTTGAGGAGCTTGAGATGATGCTGACCAAGATCTTGCCTCATTTTTTTGCTCACAGCAGTAATTGTGGGGTGGGATGGATTGAAAATGATTCAAAATAATGTAGCAGCCAGGTTCAAGACAGGTGGGATCCTAAGCCTTGATTCTCCCAGGCCAACTTCAACCATGAACGCATGTTGGCTCAGGTACAACATCTAAGGGGCTGGGGGAGAAGATAGTAAATGGGATCAGAGAGACATGCTCCCCCTCTGTAGCTCTTTGCAGCTCTCTTCTGAGACTTGGGTGAAGCTTTTCTTGTCACTACTAATTCCAACAAGATATTTAGCTACCCTCCATCCCTCTGTCCCCTCCCCAATTTCCCCATGGTTTTAAAGTGAACTTCAGAGTATAGTAGTCAATAGAATGAAATCCGTGCACCCCAGTTTTGATACAAGTTGCATTGCAAGCTATTCTTGTTTGAGATTAGTCTAAGCATTAGTCTGTGGAAGGAGGCCATTGGCAATAAATCTAAGACTGTCTTCCCACAGGGTTCTTGTGCTGTCATAGCTCCAGAACCCAACACACACAATCTGAAACAACCTTTATGCCAATCCAAAGTGCTGCACAGCCAGACAAAATTCTCATCTGATATGGGATTGAATTCTATGCTAGTATAGCATAGAACTAGCATAGTTCTTTTATACTATAGAACTAATGTAATAGTAGTACTATAGTATAGAAGTAGGCTGGTATAAAACTTCGGCAAAAAGAAATGTTCCATGATGAATCACAGCCAGGGCAGCTGTGTTAGGAGATATGTGCCGATTTATGGGCAAAAAAAAAATGCCTTTCATATGATAATTCCAGCAAACACATGAACAACTGTTTTACAGTGCTTCAAGGATAATTTTCTAACGTCAGACAATTCTCTAATAGTTGGAGGCAAAGCAGAAAATGATACACCTGTCACACATTCTCTGTGATTTTAAACTTGCATTGTTTGCTTCTAATTTTCCTGGAATGGATTCAAGTAATCTTTCATGCACAAACCCACAGCTGTCCCATGTTGATTTTAAGGGCATTGTTTACTAAAGTCACAAACAGCTCAAGAAGCACACCAAGGCCCCATTGGTGCTTGGCAGGAGCTTCAGTCTATTTATTTTTTACATAGCATTTTTTGCACAGGGCATTTTTTCTGAATCTATCTTGCTCCTCCCAATATTTTTCCTAGTACTTTCTAATCCCACCATTTCAAGCCATTTTCTTTGAATGTCAATCTAATTTTTAGCCTCTTTTCCCCAAGGTTTTACTATTACTGAAGATACAATAGCAGTAGCACTTAGACTTATATACCACTTCACAGTGCTTTACAGACCTCTCTGAGCAGTTTACAGAGTCAGCATATTGCCCCCAACAATCTGGGTCCTCATTTTTACTGATCTTGGAATGATGGAAGGCTGAGTCAATGCTGAGCCTGTCAGGATTGAACTCCTGGCTGTAGACAGAGTTAGCAATAGCAATAGCACTTAGACTTGTATACCACTTTATAGTGCTTTACAGCCCACTCTAAGTGGTTTTACAGAGTCAGCATATTGCCCCCAACAATCTGAGTCCTCATTTTTCCCACCTTGGAAGGATGGAAGGCTGAGTCAACCTTGAGCCTGGTGGGATTTGAATTGCCAAATTGCAGGCAGCCAGCAGGCAGCAGAAGTGGCCTTTGCAATAGTGCATTCTAACCACTCTGCCATCACATCAAGTGACAGTTTGGGATGTAGTCATTTCCTTAAGACAGATGCAAAACTTTGGGCATTCTTCCAGTTAATTCAAAACTTTTTTCTCTTTCCCATTTTCCTTCATCTTTATTGTAAAGTTCTTTAAAAGGTCACAAAAAGTGATTAACCAGGGATGACAAATCCCAGATGAACAAGTATGTTTGTATTTATGTATGTATGTATGTATGTATGTATGTATGTATGTATGTATGTATGTATGTATGTATGTGTCTGTCTATCTATCTATCTATCTATCTATCTATCTATCTATCTATCTATCTATCTATCTATCTATCTATCTATCATCTATCTATCTCTATCAGTATCTATCTATCATCTATCTATCATCTATCTATCATCTATCATCATCTATCTATCAAACTTACTAACTTGCCCATCTCCCTCACTCACAGGCTCTGGACTCTGACTTTTAACTTCTCAAATTGTAGACATTGTTTTGTCTACTTTCAACACCTAGATACGCCTCTGAGTAACTCCAAGAATATTTGAAATGAAAACAACTCATTCTTACAAAGTAGGGGAAGGCATTATATTTGTGGGTTTCAGCTAGCAATTTCAGTCGTGAGAATAACTGTTCAGAAATGAAAAGTAGATGCAATATTCAATCAAGGCAGGGATGAAAGTTCAAGAAAAATCTCTTTTGGAACTGCCTGAAAACTGGCGAGATCTGCAAAACAGAACCCACAGTGATCTGCACATGATCTGCTTGAAAAGTTTATTGGACACTTAGAACAGTTCCTTCTTATGAGTGATGATCTACATTAAGGGGCTCCAAGCCTGGCAACCCTAAGACTTGCGGACTTCAAGTCTTAAAGTTGGCATGTTTGGAGATCCCTAACCAATGTGAAAGATCTCCAGGAAGTAACCTTTATCATCATCTAAAACCAGGGTGTCAAACTTGCGACATGTTGTCACGTGACATATCACAACTTCCCCTCCTTTGTTAAACCAGGGGTGGGTGTGGCCAACATGTGATGCATCCAGCCGGTGAGCCCTGAGTTTGACACCCCTGATCTAAAACAACCACAAGAAAACTTTTAGAAGCTTCAGGTGATTAGGAACTAAATACTATGGAACAATGAAAGAAATAAAAAAACTGAATTGTATGGCCACAATCTAAAAAAAAATAGGTTCAACTAAATATCAACATATCTGACATGCTGATGTTCCACAATTAACGAAGAAATCAAAGTTGAAAAGAGTTTGAATATTTCAGCAATTATATGAACTATACTTCCATATGAACTATGAAATATAGGAAATAGGAGATTCTCAGTCATCCAGGTCATGGTTGTCCCAAAGTGTTTTTTCAAGAGGCACCTTTGGGATAGGAACTAAGGGTTTTGGAATGAACTTCCCAGGTCCCAGACTGAAAGATTATTGAAAATCTGAAGGAAGATCTTAAACCTAAAGTGCGTGCGAGTAGAGTTAAGAACATTTCTGAGCCCAAAACATTATGTAAGGAAGAAAGGGGGGGAAATCCAAAAACAAGAACTGAAAGAGTAAGAGAAAGTATATGAAACATTTGGAAGCTGTTGTTTCTGTCAAAGGAGGATTTGCAGAATGCTGACTGAAAGTGCGTTTAAACTTCTGCACCTGCCATGTTTAATCTTTTCTTATTTTGAATCTGTCAACTGCACATATAAATATTCATTCAGAATTGCAGAAATATCTGTTTACCTTTGTCCCATGTAGAGGTTGTGTCAGCTTCTATTTCACTTAGGGATTCATTGGAACGTACAATTTGACCAGGAATGTCTAATTGTTTGCTCTTGTATGTACTTTGTTCTGAGCCATTGGATGAAGTTTGGTATTCTGGCCATTCCGTGGCCTAATGGAATCCCTGACTGAGCAGATAATCATGGCCTTGAAGGCTCCCAAGGTTTTTCTGCTTAGATTTGCTGAGCCTAACTGAGTGTGTACCTTTCTTCAGAAGTGGAGATCAAATTATATGGCCAATACCTGGAGGTTTCAAGAGCCAATCAGATTCCAGGAATCAGGGACATTTTGTCAAACTTTACTCAATTGTGATCTGCTTGAGTTGAACTACATATGACAGCCCTAAATACCTCTTGCCCCATGGCATACAAAGTGATTGTGCATGTTGAACATGAGCATAGACAGATACCTTCATAAAGCATGCACATAAAAGGTGCAAG